GTTTCAGGCGAGTCTTTGTCCATATAATAGGCTATGGTACACACAGAAAAATTAATTTCGGCCAAAAAATTTTGTCCAGGCCAGGAACTGGTCTAAATGGCCCGCACGCGATCGAGACTCAGCCTTCCAAGAGTGAAAATGCAAATCCAAGCGTGAAAATAGGTGTCTACAGCGCTCGGTGTTCCCAGGCGGTCACCAATCCAAGTACTAACCGAGCCCGACGTTGCTTAACTTCAGTGATCGGACTAGAACTGGTGTTTTCAACGTGGTATGGCCGTAGACGTTAGACAGGGATGTTTCAGGCGAGTCTTTTTCCATATAATAGGCTATGGTACACACAGAAAAATTAATTTCGGCCAAAAAATTTTGTCCAGGCCAGGAACTGGTCTAAATGTCCCGCACGCGATCGAGACAGCCTTCCAAGAGTGAAAATGCAAATCCAATGTTTCAGACATTGCAAGCGACGTGAAAAAACCAATGAAGAATATGTTGTAATATGACGACCTATAAAGGAAATAGTGTGTTGCGATGAATTTTATTTAATCTTTGCGCGCCCTTGAAAATTCAAGATTATCTTTACAATGATATGTATACTGTCGTTAGTTGAATCCTATATTATACTATGTCCAGTTTACTCCGTATAAAATTTAGCACTGTATAAAATGGCCGACTCTCCCACTCCTTTAGCATGTCAATGTTAGATGTTGGTTCGTCTGCTTCTAAGCGGTTCAATAAGGCTACTGCTATCATGGCGGCTGAAACAGACAAACAAATTTCAGGAGAATATAGCTGTGGTTAGTCACCAACTGGTCTAGGTTTCCAAACACAGGAACGTGCCTTATATCCAATCCCAGTTTCACTTTTGATATCTGAGGACATCATTTTTACGCAAAATAGTGACTCATACAAAACAGGTTGAAAATCACCGTTCTAGGGCATCAAGTATCTCGCAATAAACACATTTGGATTCACTATCACTATTTTTGTCAGAAATATTACCAAATTTAGTTATCTCTTTGAGCGTATAGGTCATTA